TTTAATTCTTTCTACCCAAAGGTTGTCTGGAAGAGATTGCTTAGCAATAAGACCGCCTTTTGTACTACACCATACTTATTGGCAATTGTTCAACAAATCCTATAATGTTGGTGCAATAAAGTGTTAAATAAATAAATAAATAATATACATATATTATAATGAATTAAATATAATAGTCCTAGGATAGATTATTGTGAGAATAATTATTATCATAGGAGGCGACTAAGTAAACTGAATGGTTGAGTAATGAGTAATAGCGTCCCTCTCCCTTTGCGGTTGCCAACCCGCTTGCCAAACGTGACAACTACTGCCGACCTTATAGAAAAGGCCTATGTTTAGCAGTGGACAATTAACAGCTGATATGGTGACAGTGTTATGCTTTTTTTTTAATTCTATCTCATTTAGAAGGATTAATTTATTATTTTATTTCTAATATTAATTCCTAAAAAAATCTGTCAGTTGCCAGTTGAATTTACACGCCAAGGGTTCCGTACATAAATATATATGACAAAGTTACATCTATTGCATTTATTTAATTCTAAAACAGATATGTGGTAGTTATTATTATTAATACTACTTGATTGATATTGATTCGTATTTTGGACCTTAATTCTAATTGAAAACTGTACCGCATAACTAAGTTTGTTTATTGGACATTCTTTGTATAATAATTTCTCAAAAATTATACTAGTAAGAAAATTGGTTTATTTTTCTTTTTACTTCTACTACCGCCGCCCATGATCACCCACAACACCAGCGGCATTGCAGGTGTGCTGCCGGCCTTTTGAAAAGGAACCAAAAGGATTCCTTTACACCGTTTTTAGTACGGAACCCTAAAACAGTAAACTAATTTGCCATGCCTATTGCAAAACTGGATTTTCAAGATGGTTACATTGATCGACATTGATGGCTCGACCATACTTAGGAGCGTATAATTTTAAATCGACCACTTCCGTCGCTCACCATGCTTAAGGCATAATAATTAACGAGTTAATTAATAAAGATGTTAAGGACCCTTCACTTTTTTTTATTTTTTTAAAGCAATTAAAACGCGATGAGGTAATAAAGTAATAAATGTTTGGTGAATTTTAAAAGCTCAACCGATAAAGCTATCTACATTTTAATTAAAATCCTATTAAATTACGACCAATATAATTATTTTCTCAAGTTTTATAACGTCTACTTTATATTTTTATAGCTTGATAAACAAGAATATAAGAACGACTACCGCAAAACACCTGGGGATCGAAAAAAAAAAAAAAAAAAAAAAATATATATATATATATATATATATATATATATATATATATATATATATATATATATATATATTTATACATATTTGTTTCTGCCTACACTAATTTATTTTTTTATTAGATGAAAATGGAGTGGTAACCACGCCTACGCTATTGGGATACGCTGGCGGGGCACCAGTGAAGGGTGATCGATGAGGATGAAAACAGGCCAGTTAGTCCATCATGATGAATTCATCAGGAATTAATCATGATAGTTTCCAGGGGGAACCGCGAGAAGGCCGACCTGGTTGGATATATTGCTAGCAATGGGATTCTTAGTCTCCATTACTAACAATCCCTTTCCCCCCCCTACACTAATTGGAGAGTGGCGTGACAGATATGTATGTATGTATATATAATTTAAATTTAGTTCTACAATAACGTAATATACACAATCTTAAATAATCTTGAGTATCTTAAGTTTACAAAAAAAAACTGCCTATAACTGTGCCTAAATCAGTTATTTTAGTGTAAAAACTAAATTACGGAACCATGTTTGAAAAAATAACTGTAAGACCAATTTGAAAGTTTATCCTTTCAGATAAAAAATGAATTTTCCAAGTCGGTTTAAAAATTACGCAGTTCTCAGTATGTTAACAAATATAAAAAAAAAATACAACCGCACTGAGAGCTTCTTCCTTTTTTGAAGTCGGTTAACAATAATGGTACAAAAAGTTTTATTCGACAGCTCTAGTTACAAACTGCTAATTCCACTTGGAACTGAAATACTCGAAACGATACTTCGTTAATCTCGAAACTGTCAATTTTCAAACGAGAATTTGTTATCAACTGAATTGCACACCCCTGCCTGGCTTGGAAATATAACAGAGTTAAATCTCTGTAAAATTTCACTATAAAACAACATACGGACAGGCAAAATTTTATATTTAAAAAAATATTAATGACTCATCTACAATCCGCGCATACTTAACTACGGCTATCTACGACTTCGTTTCAGAGTTGCTAGATATGAAATTTGATTTTTACCCAAATGTCCAATTTTTTACCTTGTCTCGTTTTTCACTACGTTTTATCATGCGACACAAAGTGAACCACGAAAAAAAGTTAAAAAAATCTTCATTTCATTTCTACTCTAGAGCTTTTGAACCTCACCGCTATTTTGCTATCGTCATTCATATATTTTACTGTACTTGCACTTTTTTATTTTACATTTAACAAGTACCAAAACTGTCTAAAATTTGCCTATATTTCTTTAAGCTCATATTCACTTCTCTCCAAAAATTACACCAAGAATTTCATTTTTCCAAAACTTTCACAATCACAACAAACTTTTACCCAAATCTGCAAAAGAAAAATACCCATTCTGGCAACACTACTTCATTTACGTGATAGTTGATTGGCTTCATTCGTAAAAATCATATTTCTTTTTTATACTACTTAGAATGGCAAACAAGCTGACGGCCCACCTGATGGAAAGTGGTAACCGTCGCCTATAGACATGAGCAGTGACATGGATATAACAGTATACTGTTTCGCCCATGATACCCCCCATGCGTTGCCATTCCTGAGGACTCAGATGTTATTCCTCTGTACCCTGTAAATTCACGCCCTTCACAGCCATGCAAACACAACTGCTTCACGGTGGAAACACGAATGAGTCAGAGGTACCCAAGCAATCGACTTTTCTACAAAGTCTCCCTCTGGTCAATATATATAAATTAAGTCAATCGACTTCCGATTATGTTTATTGGATACTGATAGGCTTATCACACGCGCCGCGAACATAATCTGTTTGTTTTTTTTTAATTTTATTGCATACACTTGAAATATTCCTATTTAGACATGACGCAACAAGAAGATTTTCTCTTCTTCAGAAGCAGAGATGATCTTTTTATTGCGTCGAGAGATAGAGAACTGTTCAAACTTGCTCAGTCCCTTTTTGGCCGTGTCAGACGGTTATACCCATTTATACCCGTATATATATATATATATATATGTATATCATTGGTATTCCACTTACTATAACCGACTATAAGGTACGCTCGACTGGGTACCGTCCTTTAATGATAAAATTTACATATTCATCACAGTGGGTGCCACTTCCTCTATGCGTAGGTATTTCGCTGAATTTTCTGTTGGGGTAACGCTTTATCTGTTGTCTATGGGAGAGATTTGTAGATTGAAAAAGAAACTGGCAATACCGTAGTTTTAGATAATGGAAATAATGAAATAAATGAATGATTAGGGAAAAAATATGTTTATATAGAATGTAGATAGATAGACCCTTTATTGTTTCTTCCAAAAGATTACATCAGTAAACTTACTTATTATAAATACAAACAATTACAAGAAAATATTACACTGAAAAAACAATGGGTAGCCTTATCGCTAAGAGCAATCTCTTGCAGGCAACCTTTGGATGGAATTGTAAATGATACTATTTGACAGAACTAAATAATTATTTACTAAAAGTAAATAAAAAACAGTGTTTTGTTTGAAATTTTTTCTAAGTTTTCCGGTAATGTATAATTATGATTTTGCTCCACAGAAAGCCCGACTTCAATTGTAGCAAAACCAATTATTTTGATTTAAAGGAAACTATTCAAGAAATTTAAAAAAAAAATCTATGGGACCAATCTGTAAATATACGTATTCAGATAAGAAAAAAAAAAATTCAAAACAATTTACAATAGATGGAGTTATGAGCCAACAAAATGAAAAATTACAACCTAATTCAGAACCTCCTTCTTTTTGAAGTCGGTTGAAAATGCCATAATAATAGAGTTAAATCAAATGATAGCAATAGGCTTACACTTGGGCAAACAGACGTTAGAATGCTATTTTCATTATTATAATTACAAATAGAAATAAGAAGAATTACATGAAGATTTTTTTTTAACATTATTTCATCCAAATTCAAAATTATATGCTTGTTGTATATTTACACTACACGTACACTAGTGTAATTGTTTTTTTTTATCTTACCTCTATCGTCACATTTCTAGTGTCTTAGTATAATTTGTTTCAGTGTTTTCAGTCTCTCATTATAGTTTATTTATTTGTTACAAGCTACAATAACAGTTTGCAAACAGAAATGAGCATGCCATAAAACAGAAAACAAAACAAAAATCTATCTATACGCAATTTGCCAATCTGACATTGGAAACATCAATAACAGTAAGTTAGAAGATAGTTATTACTAATCACAGTCATAATTCAAACTTATACCATTTCAAAATTATTATAATAACTTCTTTCCTTCAAGAGAAGTTAATAAAAAATAATATAGTTTTATTAAAGTTATCACAGAAACAAGCTTTATTAATGAAATGAAATTAGTAATAAATTGAAACAAGAAATTAATCGATTTTCGATTTGTACTATTTATTGGACATCAGTGTCTTATTTTGTATCTTGTGGTTCTGGCATAGAATTGGCCACCCCTTCTTTTTCCGTAGATAGCGTAAACGGCAACTCAGGGAATTTAATGATCAATGGGTAGGCAGCAGCATACAAAGACTAAATGCAGTTGCCAGTCCACCTGCTAAGCGTTACAACTATTTGCTCTCCCCTTATGGGAAAGGCCTATGTTCAGCATTGGAAAGTTAACGAATGGTATAATAAAAGATTGTTATATTCAAATTAATTATTGGTTTGATTAAATTTTCATTAAATTCTCTTGATACTGATATGCCTTGATTACGTCATACTACATCTACGATCTCAATATATGTAAGTACTTACATGCATATTCAATAAAAACAGCTTGACTTCTTATCCTCCCCTTGCTATTCCAAGCGTAGCATTCACAACTGTACTTCCCACCGAAATAGTCGTCTATCTCGTTCCTGCTAACATTTAATTCTGCTTCCACTACTCTGACTCCATTTTGAGGATCAACATGTTCCAACTGCTTCGTCTTCTCTGTTCTAACGTCATTACATTTGAAGAACACCTGCAAAGCATTAGCTGCTCTGCAAAGTAGTGTGGCCGGTTTTGTTCTTAAGACATAGGAGTTCTTTGGTTCTAGTTGAAATATTGGGAGACCGTCAATTGTCTCGTCGTTTTCAGGTAGAGGTATATAGTCTACGTCGTCCTCCACGGGTTTGAAGTCTGAGAGGTAGGGATCGAAGTTTATTAGCCCATCTGGATGTATGTATTCCGGTCTGGTTTCTTTTTGCGTCGTATGCTCAGTACCTGGAACAAGCTTTTCATTAAGAATTTTATTTTTAATTAGATAAAAAAAAAATTTAGAATCTTCAATTACTTATTTTAACCAATCTTAGAAAAAAATAGAAAATTTTGTATGCAATATTAAAGACAAGAAAAACTAATATATGTGTATATATTTTTTATAACACTTAAGTAGCAAATAAGCATGAAGTTAACCTAATGGTAAGCGGTTACCGTAGCCTATGAACGCCTGCAATACCAGAGGCATTACGTGCGCGTTGCCGACCCCGAAGAAACCTCATGACCCCTTTTTTGAAGAGCCCCATGTTGTAGTCTCTTGGAAAAACCTATATAGGGAGCTTACTCCATAACCTGAACGTATGTATAAAATATAATACTAACTTAAAAAATATTCTACGAGTATATTCACGTAATCAGATTTAAACTAGACGATTTTTGTACATAAAAGAACAAACAAAACAAAAAAAAGAAACCAAAACAAACAACCAAAACAACATTTTTTAGAATTTTTGTCTGTTGAGCATTATGTAAAAACTAGTCAATCAAAGTGTACGCGATTTTTACAGATGTATTCTTGAAATTCAAACTTAAAATGTGGTATAGGCTTTATCTCGATAGAATCTAGATATTGACAATTTCATTAGTTCATCTATTTTTAATATCCTGCAGCCTGCAAGCAAAAGTTAGTATAATAGCAGTGTCTAAAAGTACTTGTATCCAATTATACTGTTACATATTTTTTATCCTAGCTTACAAATTAGGGTAACTTGTGCCTTGCGCCTTCCAACACACAAGAACTAATACTTTGTATTTGTACATGCAGAATTAACAATTTTAAGCTACAAACGTAATAAACATGATGAAGAAAAGGAAAAAAAAAAAGAAATTATTGTTCAAGTAGAAGATTATAGTTAATTAAATTTTTAAATCTGTAACGTTCAATGTTTGGTATGTGAGAAGGTGAACAGTGTGAGTGTGTGTAATTACACATAAATATTTGCGGAATATAAATAGACGCAGGTGGCTCAGGACCGTTTCTTTTGACAGTCTATGGGGGAGGCCTATGTTCAACAGTGGACGGATAAAGATCGATAAATTTGCCACGTGATTACGGCATAGAATAAACCACTCCCTCCATGGGTGTCGTAAGAGGCGACTAAAGGAGCTTAATAATCGAAGGATGGGTAACAACGTCCCATTTAAAACAATGTCAAAGCCTAATTGCTTGGTTGCGGTTGGCAATCCGCCTGCCAAGCGTGGCAACTACTGGCAAAACCCCTCAAGGGGAAGGTTTATGTTCAGCAGTGGACTGTCAACGGCTTAAATAATATGATATATAAATATTATCCAAAAATGTAGATTTTTTTTATACAACTTAGAATGGCAAACAAGCTGACGGTCCACCTGATGGAAAGTGGTAACCGTCGCCTATAGACATGAGCAGTACCATGGACATAACAGAGTGTACTGTTTCGCCCATGATACCACCCATGCGTTGCCATTCCTGAGGACTCAGGTGTTATTCCTCTGTACCCTGTAAATTCACACCATATCCCACCCTTCAAACCGAAACACAACCATGCAAACACAACTGCTTCACGGTAGAAACACGAATGGGACAGAGGTACCCAAGCAATCGACTTTTGTACAAAGTCTCCCTCTGGTACTATATTATATATACTACTATCTAGTAACAAGATCTCCATTATATTTAGTTATATATATTAATTCTATTATATTCTTTGGGCAATTTGATCTAGTTTTTGCACCTATTCAGCACATCACAAAAGGGTATCGAGTTGCAACGTCCCTTTAGTTTGAAATCTTTCTTTTATGTCCGCTCCTATCTCGTCCGGTACATACTCGTTGTTTCTTTGGTAACAATACTGCGTCCAGGACTTTTTCTGCGGTTTTTTAATGAGAAATTTACTTTAGATATGTATGATATGATAAAAAGTAGCCTGTCATATATATATATATATATATATATATATATATATATATATATATATATATATATATATATATATATATATATATATATATATATATAACAAGCTGACGGCCCACCTGATGGAGAAGTGGTAACCGTCGCCTATAGATATGACTATGAACATAAGAGGGTATACTGTTTCGCCCATGATACCCCTCATGCGTTGCCATTCTTGAGCAATACTAAGTTTTACAATAATTAGTTAAGGGATCTGTAGTAATGCGGACTACCAGTCTCATTGCTAGGAATATACCCTGGCAGGTCAACTTTCACGTGACCGCCCTGGAAATCATCGTACTGAATTCCAGGTGTATTCATGACGACTGACTGACCTGCCCTTTCATTCGTACCTATCATCCCTCAGTGGTGCCCCCTAACGTATATCGTTAGGGGGGAAAGGGATTGTTAGAAATGGAGACTAAGAATCCCATTGCTAGCAATATACCCAACCAGGTCGACCTCCTCGCGGTTCTCCCTGGAAACTATTATAGTTAATTCTTGATGAATTCATCATGATGGGCTAACTGGCCTGTTGTCATTCTCATCTATCACCCTTCACTGGTGCTCCGCCAGCGTATCCCGTTAGCGCAGGCGGAGTTACCATACCATTTTCACACATAAAAAAAATGTATATCGTTAACGCAGACGGGCTTTACCATTCCATTATTATCCATTAAAAAAACACACTGACCAAGGTTTCTATATAATTAATCATTCCTTTGTAGCAGCCAATATTTTTTCAAGTAAAATTTAAACGATAACCCCGCCTGAGCTATCTGAGCAACGATGAACGATAATAGGTGACGATGAAAGCAGGTTGGATGATCAAAAAGAAGCGTGGAGTAGTCAATCTAATAGAGTATATTACTAGCAATGGGGAAGAATGTCCCCAGTACTAACAATCTCTCATCCCCCTAACAATATTAAGTATATATTTATGAGTAAATATTATTTTTTAACAATAAATCTTACATAAATCTGTTATCATTTAAATATAGTAAAGTAAAATAAATAAATACAATAAAACAAAGTAAGATGCGACTAAGATCGCATACTGTGCACGTCAAACATACTATTTATTGTCCTAGCAAGGAGACAGATCGTAGTATATATAAAGACATAAAAAATAATTAAATGTAATATAAAAATAATTTATTTGCATAAATATTATTAATAAAATATATCTTAATTGGTATTATTGTGGGATCACATATTTAGCCACGTTGTTTTAATGGCGTACAATATGTAAAATCTTATTTGTATGTATTTTTAAATAATTTCAAACCTTGCAGTAACAAAAAAATAAAAATAATAAATATCATGTAAATTATTTAAAGTACAAAGCATCTGTTATATATATATATATATATATATATATATATATATATATATATATATATATATATATTATATATATATATATATATATATATATTTATATTTATATTTATATAATATACTATTATTAATTAACTATTTTCAACCGAATTCAAAAAGAAGTAGGGTTTCAATTTGGTTGTATTATTTTTTTAGATTTGATACCTCATAACTCAATCAGACGCAAACCGATTTGGAATTTTCTTTTTTCTGAAAGGATATACTCAGAGACTGGTCTCATAGAAATTTAATCAAAATAGATTCAGTAATTCAGTTTTTTAGTCACAATTAAAGTCGATTATATTTTTGAAATACAATTTATTTATTATAGAAACATTTAAAATTTACGATGCAAATAATAAATATTAATTTAACAAAAATAAATATTTTACCTCCATTTTTGACGCGTCCCACAGTCATAATCACCAATAATGCAATCCTAAAAACATTTCTATCTAAAAACATCACTATAATAAAAAAAAAAACACTATTTAACTATTAAAAAAAATGTTATATCCACTGAAACCAGTCGCATCTATATTATCACTATTATTATTTATATAAATAATAATTTGTTTTCTCAAACGTATTCTTATTTCACTAAAAAGTACCACTAAGTAAAATTTAAACGAGTAAAATTCATTATATCTTATTGCATGCACTTTTATAAATGGAATTAGCTATTCGTAAAACACGTGTTACGCGCGGAGAAATGAATGAAACACGTGCACGCTTCAGCGATGAGCATGTCAAACTGGATTGGATGTTCCCGTAATAGGAATAGCATGCCATACTACACCATGAATGCATTCGCTACGAAATTGCATACTTCCATATCTCAACCACGTTTTATTTTTAACTTTAAAATTCGAAATCTCATTAGACAACTTTTGTAATGTATAAATATAGTAACAATAATAAAATTATATATTTATATAAAGTGGTAATTTAAAAACGAAAATGTGTATCGAATTATTTAATAAAATTTTCAATATTTATTTTTATTTGTAATTTTAAAATTATTTCTCACACAGACACATAATTAGTATCTGCAAATAAAAGATTACTTTAGAACTACTGTCGCCATCTGTAGTCAAATTGAAATTGTATTATAAATTAACCCTCCGTTTGCTGTGGCATGGCACAAAAGTTCTCTCTTGCTAATAAAACTTTATAAGCTCCCATTTAATAACATGCCTCTGTTCTAGATGGCGCTAAGCTACTAGTGTCGCCATCTATTGGGGATTTCTTATATTAAAATAAAAATACTTTTTACTTCGAGCAAAGTAGCAAGTTCTAAGTTTAGAGATATGAGTATTTTGATTATATAAACAGATGGCATTTTTATATCCACACTGCAAATTTAAAGTTACAGTTAATTTAAAAATGCAATAGGTGGAGTGATTCTTAACTGACAAATGATGATTAAATAATTAGATATAAACTGACATAAATATAATATATAATAATATAATACATTTCATATTTTACTGAATGTCTAACATAAAAAAAAATAAGAAAAAAAATTAGTAATAAAACTAATTACGTAGATAAATAATCTAAATTGTGTTCTCAAATAACAACTCCTGAGAAATACCGTAGATATCACTAATAAACTATTAGTTACGGTTTTAGTAATTATGCCGCTCCAGGAAAAAATAGTTATTACCTTTTTAATACTCAGCCATTTACAATTTTTCAGCTCTTCAGTTTTTTGCTTTGGGTATTTATCCAGCTTACCAACTCTACCTATACATTTCATGGGATAACCTATGAATCTGCTGTTTCTAAAAACAATTAAAGTGCCTAATAGTCGACGTCCTGGGAAGGGCAGGGAGGGGGGAGGGAAGAATTGTTATTAATGGAAACTACCCTTTTGCTAGCAATATAACCTGACAGGTCGAATTCTTGTTGCATTAGTCTTGATGATACGACTGACCTGCTTTCATCTTCACATTACGTCTTGACAGGCGTGTTGGTAACCGCAGTTATACTTTGGTGGCATTTTGAGAGGGACACTGCTGTTCATTTCTCAACCATTAACTTCCTTTAGTCACCTCTTACGATATGCGTTGGAAAAGAAGGGGTGGCCCATTTTATGCCGGGACCACACAGCAAGTCATTGTCCTTCCATATTCACCCATTACAAAAATTGTCAATGTCAAACTTTATAAAAGATGTAGGTACTTTTATATTTAAATAAATACCAACCATAATCATATGCATAATCCAAGAAATTATTCGCAGCATTTACACATGGAACGTCTTCGAAATTTGAAATTCCAAATGATTGATTCCAAATTCAAAGGTGCCGAGAAGTGTTGCCAACATTGAATATTGATTGCACAAAAGGCGTTCGGTGGTAAAGCGTATTCTCAATTCAAAATTATTCCAACTCCACCGATTCCTTTTGAAGGTACAAAATATGTAAGTAGCCAAATTCGTCGGCTACATTTTTACATTCCGAATAACATTTTCTATCTCTTTTTCCATCTACATGAAACTCTGCACATCTCTTTCGCAATTTCTGAAACGGAAATTCAAATTTTGCGGGTCGACTCGCCTTTCCGCTATAGATTTTCAAGTATAATCAGCCTTTAAAGGTTTGAGCAATCAATGAAAATATCAAAGGATGTTTTTGATTTGAATATTTTCCATAGTCTATAAAAACACTTTGTGAATTAAAGTACCCTATCCCAACGTTTTCAATAAAACTGTGTTCTTTTTATAAAAAAAAAATATTTTAAATCTTTTATAATTCGAAAATGAATTCTCCTTCATATCTCACATGTTTTAGTAATCCTAGTGTTGTGAATATTTGGACTTTTGGATTTGGAATATTTACCAGAGGGAGACTTTGTACAAAAGTCGATTGCTTAGGTACCTCTGTCTCATTCGTGTTTCAATCGTGAAGCAGCTGTGTTTGCATGGCTGTGTTTCGGTTTGAAGGGTGGGATATGGCGTGAATTTACTGGGTACAGAGGAATAACACCTGAGTCCTCAGGAATGGCAACGAATGGGGGGTATCATGGGCGAAACATTTATGTCCATGGTACTGCTCATGTCTATAGGTGACGGTTACCACTTTTCATCGGGTGAGCCGTCAGCTTGTTTGCCATTCTAAGTTGTATAAAAAAAAAGACTATTAAAAGATATTTTAAAAGGCGTTGTTCTACACGATGCAGTGAAATCTCATTTATTTTCATAAATCTCATATCATGCATGTGACCAAATTTTTCTCTATGTTTTCTTTTTATCCTTTATTTCCTTCTATTTAATAATAAACAAAACACCTGACAACTAATGATCCGATTAGAGTCCGGTCCACTAGTGACCAAATGAACAAACTTAAGTAAATCCGTATTCGAGCTGAGGGACTAAAGACTGCGGACAATTGTTTGAGACACTCCAGTAAGGTTCATTCGAATGACTCAAGTGCCGATGGACTTTTACATTATCCGATCAGATTTTACGAATAAATATATTATGGCCACACTAAATTGTTTAATTTTAGTTACACTAGTATTATTTAAGGTGTTAATATAATATTTTACAGACATAAAACTATTTTTTTTTTTTACTTTTAGTTTCTATCTATCCTATTTAAGAGCTGCTCTCTTGTCGGTGGAACTCTTGCCACTCACTACGATTTTCAAAGAATGTACCTTTTTCTTTTAACAAAGGTTTATTAACAAAAGGCGAATTTAACAGAATTAAAGTCGTGTTTTGTTAATTCTTTAGATGAGATTAACTCTGTAAGTCTCTTCAAACTAGGCATGGGTAATATAAATACCGATCTAATATCTTCTGGACATTGATGGCGCAAAAAACGATCTTAACTATTTCAATGTCATCTATATCTATCGGTTATCTATTTTCGAATATGTCAAAAGTATGTTACCAGAGGGAGACTTTGTACAAAAGTCGATTGCTTAGGTACCTCTGTCCCATTCGTGTTTCAACCGTGAAGCAGTTGTGTTTGCATGGCTGTGTTTCCGTTTGAAGGGTGGGATATGGCGTGAATTTACTGGGCACAGAGGAATAATACCTGAGTCCTAAGGAATGGCAACACATGGGGGGTGTCATGGGCGAAACATTATACTCTGTCATGTCCATGGTACTGCTTATGTCTATAGGCGACGGTTACCACTTTCCATCAGGTGGGCCGTCAGCTTGTTTGCCATTCTAAGTTATATAAAAAAAATATCTCATGTTATTTTTTTGTATACAAACTTTTAACATATTCGTTATTGGACCAGTATATAGTAGATATTGTAACTAAAATATATAGATATAGCTATATATTACCCATCCACACTTCATACCCGTATTTTTATATCCTAATTTATATGCCGGGTAATTGGAACCATGTAATCCACTTTACCTTTAGACTGCCAAACCATCCAGAGACGACTTTATCCCACAAATGTCATCGAGACATCGTATCGGATCGTATCCAGTTCGGAATTACGCAGTTACCCTCATATATGTGTAAACGTCTTTATTTTATCATTAGGTTGGTAAAACTGTCACGTGCCACAAACGAATACAACACCCGAGCGTTCCGAGTCTTCTGTTGAATTGTTCGAATCTTGGGGTCTTAACTTGATCAAGACAGTTTTGTTGCCAAGTGATAAACCGCTTACAAATTACGCCTTTTATTTTGCCAGTGATTATGGGGTTAAGGCGCTTAACTTTATTATTGGATATATTAATACACTATAATATTATAGCGAGCGAGTGAAGGGTTAGATCCATAATGGCGACTGAAGACAATTATGTCTACAGTTACCATTGTAAATATTAACTCCCTTATTTGTAAAAACGTCAAACCTATATTTACAAAATTAGTAATTACTAGTTATTCAAATAATTATTATTTTGCAATAAAGTGTAAAATAAATAAATGAAAAATTAATTCTCAATTTTTTATACAACTTAAAATAGCAAAAAAGCTGAAAACCCACCTGATGGAAAGTGGTAATCGCCGCCAATAGACATAAGCAGTGCTAGGGACATAACAGAGTATACTGTATCGCGCATGATACCCCCCATGCGTTGTCATTCCTTAAGATTCAGGTGTTATTCCTCTGTACCCTGTAAATTCACTGCCATATCCCACCCTTCAAACCGAAACACGGCCATGCAAACACAACTGCTTCACGGTTGAAACACGAATAGGACAGAGGTGCCCAATCAAACGACTTTTATAGTCTCCCTCTGGTTTAAAATAAATTAGTTTTATCAATGACAAAGTTAATTATCAAACTATATAAATAATAATAGGATTTCCACCCCTTGACCTCGCAAACTCAGTAATGAAATAAGTTTCATACTCGCCAAGTGCACGGATTCCCACAAAATAACACTTTATTAATTTTTTTAACGGCCGTATTAAAACCTTTATCTGATTATTCGTCGATGGGTGAATAAAATAAGTAAAAATAATTTATTTTTGCGTACATAAGCTGATGTATTTTCACGCAGCGATGGTTTGGTATCAAAGAATCCGTTGGCCCGCTTTTTAAGGGTTTAACGCATCATATGAGTGTGACAGTTGATGCCAAATAGGTTTTTTTATTATCTATTTTTATTATTCTAATATCCTCAGGCATGGCAACGCATGGGGGGTATCATGGGCGAAACAGTATACTCTGTTATGTCCATGGTACTGCTCATGTCTATAGGCGACGGTTACCACTTTCCATCAGGTGGGCCGTCAGCTTGTTTGCCATTCTAAGTA